CCCCAAAACCCCAAAACCCCAAAACCCCAAAACCCCAAAAGAGGTGAAGTATATTGAAATTTACTAAAATTTTATATCTCTCTTGAACTAAAGCACCAAAATTCTCTTCGAAACTAGTATTCCTCATCATCAGATTCGGACTCCAAGAAATACTCAGTTTCTGGCTTAATAGCTTCAGCAGGGATCAGCCTGAACATCTTCTGGAGAATATAAATGATCTTATCGAACAAGGGCATTGACTTGTTCTTCTTGAACAACAATTGGGCTAGGCGGGAGATAAACTCAAGGAACTCAACGAAGGAGATACATAAGTACTTCTCACGATCAACTATGTCATCAGAGATGGTCATCTTGCAAAGACTGAAGGCTAGCTTTACCATCTTTGTGGAAATTGAGAGGTCAAGTTGTCTGTATTTAGATGAACTAGGACTTACTTTCAAAGCTCTTCCACTCTTTCGAGAGTGCAGACAATGTTTGGTTTGATTAAAATCATCTAGATGGGTTAGAAATGGCTTACATTGTAGATGTTTCGGATATTGGCCATATTAGCAAACATTAAGTCATCGATTCGAATAGTCCAAAGGTTTTCATCTCTAAATTTCTGTGCGTTTTGGATAAAATTAGAATGCTTGAATAGGTTATGGTTCAGCAAATGTCCTAATGCGGTAGGTAATGTCTTTCAGATCCCTGATTTTCTATATTTCTCATCAGCGATTCTGACAAGGACTTCTAAGAACTCATGTCTGCAAAGAAATCGCTTTCTAGGAGAATTTGATTCAGTGTTTTCATCAAAATTAGCAGCAATGAAGCATGTATCAATGGTAGACATAAGTCAATTGTTGCGGTCTATAAATCTTTCTCAAAAGCTTACCTGGCAACTTCCAGTGAGTGCACAATTTTGTAAACTCAAGCCAAGACATATGTGGGTATGAAGATATGCCAATACAATGATTGAATATCTCCTTCAATCTCTGATAGTTCACAAGAAGGATATCACAGACTTCCTCGTAAACTCTAGGTCTCACTGTATATTTCCTAAGTCTGGTTTTCGATATATCAATTTGGAATGTGCTTTTCAAAGTTTCATTAGTATCTTCATGCCAATCCCTGAACACAGATTTATGCTTCTCAAATTGTCTAACTTCGAACTTCTTCTTTGTTCTCTTTTGATGCAGTAGGATCTATAAGTTATAAGACATGGGTACCTCTTCAGTTCGGATTGGAACTATTGATTCACATCAGTAATAACTAGTTTCATCATGAATATCTTCAGAACTGACAATAACTTTACTGTCTCCTGGCGGCATGAAAGTGGCGAACACATAATAATCACTCAAGTCTTCATTTTCATTAGTTGATTCTTTCAATTCCTTATGGTCTTCACCAAGCTCTTTCATCGATACCATGAAGTGGGCATTATCAAGCTCCAACTTCTTTTCTATCTCTGTTGAGAAGATAGCGCCATATTTGAATGATCTAAATAGAGCAAATTTTCCATGCTCCTTGGCAAAGAACCAGTTAAAATGGCTTGTCTTCTTAATACCTTCCATCAACTTCTTTTGGAGGCGAGAGACAGGACGGACACTACAATTTTATGGCAAATGCTTACTCTTTGAATGCATATGATGGAACAGGGGTTTCCATTGCTAATAAGTTGAGTTTGTTTCCTCTGGTCTTACCCTCACGCTTATAGGCAGTCTTCACCACAAGCCTCTCGATTGCTGTTTCTCTCTTTTGTGAAGCAAATCATTTTGTGTTCCTAAATTTAGTGTAGATTTCAATATTCAGAATTCTTGAGATTCGTGAAATGAGATCTTCCTTTTCTTCAATATATATTCTTTTCTTTGGAAGTTTGTTTCTAATTAAGCAGTCGTAAAATTTATCAATCTTCATCATTTCCTTGCATTTCCAGTTGGAAAAGGTGCCAGCTATTTTGAGGTTAGGCGAGCCTTCTATCTTCTTAAAATCCCTTTCTGTATTACTATCCATAATCTTTTGATGGTAATATTTCGAGTTTATCTGAGAAGAGTCCTTAAAAGTACCCTCAATAGTCGCTGGGTTAGCTATAACACAGGTGTATTTCCACTGGTCGCAGATCCAACAACTGGTATGTATCTTCCAAGTGTAGCCATCTTTGATCTCGAAATGCCCCAGATGTCTATAAACTACAATCCTATCATCTACAGTTTCAAAATTCCCCCGATTGTCAAGCACAAGTCCTAGCTTTTTCTGTTGGTTCTGTTTATACAAGTCATACTTCATGTTTTGGAGTCTTTTCCTGTCGTATCTATTGGAGACCATGGAAACAACGGTCCTAGGGCTATCAGGTTCATTATCTTCATTAACAGCAAAGAACATATCTCTCTTTTTCTTCTTTCGACATAAGAAGTCCTTCAAAAGGTTCTTTCCTTCTTCATTCAAGTTGTTTCCACTGAGATGAACGGATAACAAGGATTTTGACTTCTTGATGCCTTCAGCAAGGATAGCTAGTTGGTCTAGATGGGTTAGAACACAAGTAGGCTTACCTGGTAGTAAATTTCAGCAACTCATGTTTAGATGAGTTAGAGAGGTATTGTTGATGATAAATTCCTTAATCTCCTCGACTACTTTGATCCTATTTAATCCTTCTATTGGGATCTTTGAAATATCGAGACCTTGGAGATGCTTTATTTCTTTGATTTTCTCCATGAAAAAGAGCATATCGTCACTCATCATCTCTGACCACGAAAGATTGAGCTTCTTTAGTCAATAATTTTCTAATATATAATCTCCAAGATTTGCAGTCATGGGCTTGTTAAAGTTAAATGAGGATAGCTTTAATATTTCTATTCTTCTATTCTTTTTAGACAGAACTTCTATAAAGTCTGTCATCAAACTTTGAGAGATATCGCATTTCATAAGTTCTAGTCGAGTAATCCTGTTCAGAGATTCTTTCGCCTTAGGAGCAATACTCGCGTACCATTTTCCATCATCGTATCAGACAATTTTACAAAGCGATTTAAGAGATAATGGGCCGATTTTATTATTTTCGATGATTAAAGAGTCTAAAGTTATGCAAGGAAGGACTTACTGATTGGGTTATACTTCATTCCTTCAAGAATGAGGACAATTTCACTATCTTTCATATTATTATTACTCAGGATAACCCCATTCAGGGTATCCTTTAGGTAATGCATCGACATCCCAAATGCTTTGGTAACTGCTGGGTTCAACTGATAGTTCTTGAGTACAAATTTATCATATTTTATCTTCTTAAGCAATGGAAGAGGGAGAGCATTAAGCTTTTTACATTGCTTAATATATGCCTTTTGGTGCTTAGTATGAATCTCTTCTACCATCTTCTTTCTTTCCTCTTCTGTTTGATAGCTTTCAATATCTCATGTCATAATATCGATATCTTCAAAAGGGTTTCGAGTTAGGAATTCAGACTTCTGAATATTTCTGAATTGATCAACTGTGTGAAGATCTGACATCATTTCTAACGCAATCTTGAAGTCCTTGCTTTGTTCAAACTTCCTTTTTACCATACTTGATGTAGGCTTAGCTCCAGGCACTAAAGGTTTAAAAGAGAGTTACTCATTGATATCTTGCCTTGCATGTGAAGACCCTTGGCTACCTTTGTTCTGAGCCTTTTGATCATAATATTTTCAGGAGTGGTAGCTCTTGATGAGATGATCTCTACTTTTTCTATATGTTTAAAAGAGTTCCTACCTTCTTCAAATTGATCACTGTCACTGTAGATGTTAATATCTTTTTCTTCCTCCTCCTCGACTTCTTCTTGTTCGAGCTTAGGAATAGAAATTTCTCTGTTAGTATCCATGATTTTTACAAACCTTTCTTGTGGGCTGAGAGTTAAGAATAATGAAATTACACAGCTGGTTTTTGGCATTCTTCCATCTTCTCTCGAAGATTAACTAAGTACAAAGTCTTGAACTTGCTCATATTGGAGATCCTCACACTTGAGAATTTTAGATTCTTCCCGAAAGATCTATTGTTGTAAAATAAAAATTTACGGATCTTTTAATGGATGAGGTCTGTAGCTCTTGACTGATTTACCTCCTTTTGTATAGCTCAAACCATCATCTATCTGATAGCCATCATATTCAGATTTTCCTTCTAATGACTCGATAGCTGGTAGATATCCCTCAGTTTTAACTATTAAAGCTCAAAGGCTGTACTTACCTTCATAATTTTGAGAAGGATTTCTCTTCCTATTATTTTGAAGGTTTGCTTCATCGATGTAATGATGATCCAACATCCTCTGAGTTCTTCTATTACTTCTATTCCCCTTCTTTCTTGTTCTTTTATCCAACCCAGGTGTCTTCTGCTTTCTTTCATTCCTATCGAAATTATAAGTTTGGCCTTACAATGAAGGGAACTCGGTATGGATATTGTATCCTTCCTTGAACATTTTCGACTCTAGGTACAATTAACAGTAAATATACTATTCTTAACCTCAAACCCTTGTTTCTGCTGTTTTGAGTACACAGTAGACTTGCTCATCCTCTTTCTCCGTGCTTGCATTGTCTTATGTGACTGTGTGTCAGAATCAGCGAAGCTCTAAAGCCGAAATGTATCGTTTTCTGAGTGTAAAATTTTCAAGAAAGATTTAATCACCCACTTACTCTTGTTTCATAACTGTCGTTAAAATTAGACCTGAAATGATCTATTAGGACTGAAACAGATTGTCTTACTAGCTTTAGAGGTTTTGTTCATCTTCTTAGGAGTCAGGATGTCCCTCCTCATGCTCATCTTCCCTACATCAAAACCTTTGATAATGCTATTCTGGCCACTATAAATTAGAAGGAGCAAGTACTTTATTTTGTACTGAGATTTTAGCCTTTTAGACTTCTTTCCAGAGGACCCTGGTAAAACTTTGTTAGATTTCCCTATATGAGGTTTAGATCTTGAGGTGTGTGTCAGCTTACGCAGAGACGGGGTTGTAGAGTCAAAATTTCCACCCATTTCCATTCGCTTCGCATTCAGGTTTGTGTATACGCTTGAGTAATGTCCGTTTATTGAGCTAAAGGATTGGTTACAGCCTGTTGAGGGCAATTTGAAAAAAATTCGTACTCGCTTGATAACCCAATTGAGTTATCTGATTCTTTCACTTTCTGATTGTGCTTCCGATTGGTATTGCTCTTGTTATAACTAACCGGATTTTTAAAATCCATCTCAACATCAGCATTATACTTTGGGGTCTTTTTCATGGCAGATTTGAGTACTCCAGTCTTCTTCATCCCTAAAAACCCCAATTATACACATTTCCAAAATACTTAACGGTCTAAACCCTTTCTATCACCACTAAACCCTCTCTAAGGCTTCTAAAATGCCTTTCTGGACCTCTTGGACCCAAAACCTCACTTCAGATCCATGCTGGTAGTTCTCCTAAACTAGTTTCACCCAAGGATGACTTTTGTCCACCAGGAAAGATCTGGGTTAAAATCTAGGCCCGAAATTGGAATTTAAGTGAATAATTAGCCAAAACAGATTTTTTAAACCATTTTTGTGATGGATAGAAACTAAGGCAATGCTGAGAAGAGTTTATGGAGAGGGTTACGAGAAACTGGAGAGGAAAGCGTTCCTGACCACTTCACATGTAATGAGATATTGATGATTGGATGAATTAGAGATCATTAATGTTCATGGAGAACACTACAGATTTCCTATTCTTGGTAGAATATTTATACTGTTTCTTACAGCTCATATATCTCATCCTAAAGGTGCATCTAATAAGAGAATAACCCCCACCAGCCCTTCTTCCCTCCTTCCCAAATTCTCTTCTACAAAATCTCTTAAATCCCTACTATAGAAATCTAGAACACTGAATTCTGGATAATACCGCTTAACTTCTTCCCCACCAGCTTTCATTCCTTCAGGAGTTCTTCTCCTCTTGGCCCTTAACTTATGCCTCTGAGTGGAGGAATGGGTGGACTCACCTGTGTTCATTATTTATTTCAACAATTTATAATTATTTGGGGTTTTGGGGTTTTGGGGTTTTGGGGTTTTGGGGTTTTGGGG